TAATTGGCTAATTATTTTGTTGCATTTTAGGTGACGAAGATCCAGCCAAAAAAGCGCCAAAACAGACGTAGAGGACGCGTAACAAAGAGGAGCAAAATTGTTCGTGAACTGGTCCGTGAAGTGGCCGGCTTCGCTCCGTACGAACGAAGAACGATGGAGTTGCTGAGAATTAGGTACAACATTCGGAATTTTTTCAAAAATTTTTGCTTCTGCGAAAATTACTTCATATTTTGACGTTGCAGTTTTTATTTGTTTTTGAATTACTTCTACCGCCTAGGCAGTGTGTAAGGGAATCCGGTGTTACTGGAATGCTTCTTTATGTCAAGCCCAGATTTGCCAGGCTTTTTGGTCTTGAACAATATCATTTTTCCTGAACACTAACTATAGTATGTACGAGCTCTCCTTTTCCTCGTCCATTGTCCCAGTGGTCATTTTCTTACTGTTTAGGGATAGAGTGAATTAAAAACTGTTTGTGCTTCAGCAAGGATAAGAAAGCGTTGAAGTTCTTGAAACGACGCATCGGTTCACACGTTCGTGCTAAGAGAAAGCGCGACGAGATCCAAGCAATTTTGACGAACCTTCGTAAGCATCACAAGTGATCATCCCCCAAATGATTGTTCCTACTTCCTGCTGTTGAAATAAATTTTTTTTAATTGTTTTTGTTGTTGTGCATTCATTCTCAAAGTTTTTTTGCTGTACTTGACCTACTTAGTTCAAGCGTATTTCATTGCATTTATAATGTGTGCGTGGGAGTTTCACCTCGATCTCAGACTGTAGACGAACTGTTTTCACCTTCCTCGAAATAGAATGGGGCAGCGAAACTGGTAGGGTGAGATTAATTGAGAGAAATCCATAAAGCACTTGTTCGAAAGTCACCGCGTCCTCAGGAATCACTACCCACATGCTCATCATGGAGCTTTACATCCGTAGCTTTGAAACATTTAAATATTTTCGGTGTTTGCCCTCGCTATTTTCATTATTTCATTTTCCTTTTCTCTTCTAAACTACCCAACATGTCCCCCAATCACACAGCGAAATGG